GAGAGGAAAAACTCCCTGCTAATCAGGAAGAAACCTCCAGCAGAACCAGGCTCAGGACAGGAGACCATCTGCCTCGACCGGCTGGGTTGGGGGACAGGAAAGAGACACAGGTAAAGACAGAATTACTGGTCCAGGTGCACCTTCTTCTGAAAAAGAGACACAAAAAAACATGTTATTGATAGAAATAATTACAATAAACATAGAGAAAAGAGATGCAAGACAACAGCAGAGTGAGGAAATGTGCTCAGTTTGTGCTCCAGCAGTCTAAGTCTATAGCAACAGAAATGAATAATAAAGTCAGGAAACCTAAGTCTAACTATAGGATTTATCAAAAAGGAAAGTCTTCAGTCTAATCTTAAAAGTAGACAGAGTGTCAGCCTCACGGACAGAAACTGGAAGTTGGTTCCACAAGAGAGGAGCTTGATAACTGAAAGCTCTGCCTCCCATTCTACTTTTAGAAACTCCAGGAACCACAAGTAAACCTGCAGTCTGAGAGTGAAGTGCTCTGTTAGGAAAATATGGAACAATAAGATGTTTAATGTATGATGGAGCTTGGTTGTTGAAAGCTTTGTATGTTAGGAGTAATATTTTAAAATCTATTCTGAATTTGACAGAGAGCCAGTGGAGAGAAGTTAAACTGGAGAAATATGATCTCTTCTTCCAACTCTCATTAAAACTCTAGCAGCAGCATTTAGGATTAACTGAAGACGTCTTAAAGAGTTTTTTTTGAATGCCCAGATAATAAAGAATTACAGTAATCCAGCCTAGATGTGATAAATGCATGAATCAGTTTTTCCGTGTCATTTTTGGACAAAATGTTTCTAATTTTAGTGATATTATGAAAGTCATGAAGTACAGCATGGCTATTCAACTAAATTGCTCCGGGGGCCACGGTAAATGCAGACCAACAGCTCAGGGTCCGGACATCAAGCAATTAAAGTCATTATGTAAATAAACCAATTATTACAAGGATCTGTTACTATTGAGTAAGTTTATTTTGCTGCATTTAATCATGAATACAACACACAGAACCCAATGTAATAAAAGTAATGATACAAAAAAATTCCAAACAAAACAAAACACTATGCCTTCTATTTAACACAAATATTATTTTGACACCTCTGACTTGCCAAATTTTTAAATCAATTTTATTTTTACTTATTTTAGTTTTATCTTTAACTGCTTGTAGTTTTATCTGGGTGTTCACAGAAGTGTTTTTACCAGCTTCTAACCAAGATTCTGACATTTTGTAGATACCACACACATTTATATCTAACTACAAGAACTCTGAAAAAAATTCGGGCACAAATGGGTTAAGCCTAAACCCCCGGTTTTCTACTTTAATTATTCTGAGTTGTAAGGCATATCATTTTATCAGGTGAGTCCCTCTGAATAATGTTATGTAATTATTTTCAACATTTTGTACTTTGTTTAAAAAAAGTACTTTTATGACCGGCAACAATTGTTGCCAGTGGGCACACAGCTTGTCACTAGGTCCAATGTCACCTGTTCATAATAGAGAACTACTAGTAATAACAAAATAATAATGTGATCAGAATAAATAATAACAAAAAGGTGGAGCCTCAGGTTCCTCCTATGTAAAATTCCAAACAACAAACAATTTGAACTGTTTTTTATTCTCAATTTTTTATACTCAAAACTTGTTTTTTTCTTGGAACCTCTAATAACACATACATGTATATATTTCATCCTATAAATTGCATCTTTCATGCATGTTCTACTCAGTGTGCTACTTCTTGAAGCACTCCACATGTAGTGACACATCACACTTTTCACACACAAATGATGTGCATGTGCCACAGTTTCCTGCAGAGTCCTGCAGCATGGCCAAGACTTCTGCTACAGACCTGCCTAAGGAAAAAAAACACATACATGATTGATTTTTTTTAATTTGGACCTATTATTTTATGAAAAATGTTTACATAAATAACATACCAGAGGTGAAAGGGGATTTATTTGTGGGCTGGTATTCCCTATGTTGTGGGACAGTTTTTTTGGCATACACACGTACTTGTGGAGACCTAATGTTACATATGGGGCTCTGACTGGTATGGGAACCTGAATCTTGTCCCCATAAGGGGAAACACCGCTGGTGGGTCGGGTTTACGTTTAGGGCTAAGGTGTGAATTGAGTTTAGGTTAGTTTTAGGGTCAGGTACCTGTGAGGTTAGCCTTAGAGTTGGTGGTCAGGGTTAGGCTGTAGAAATATAATGGAAGTCAATGCCAGGTCCCCATAAAATAGCTTTATCAGATTGTGTGGTATCTTTAACAAGCTATACACACAGGCCTTGAATACCTATGGATTTATTTAGCTAGAAAGAGTATCCTAAGAAGGCTAAAATAAGACATTGTACATCATTCTGCAATTTGAAATAAGTAAATGAGACACAATCCTGCAGACAGTGTTTTCCTTCAGTTAGTGACAAGCTATTTGCCGATTGACAACTTTCGTTGCCGCTTACAGAAATAAGCCCATTAACAAAAAAAAAAAAAAAAAATTCTAGGTACAATTTTTGGTGGGAGGGTTATTCTACAGACTTGAAAGATTAAATAATTATAAATATGTCTAAGGGAAAATCATAAGAAATTTTATGTAACTGACCTCTTTCCAGGAAAATTTGCATCTTTCTTGTCTTCATCTGGAAGGAGCGGGAAGCATATGATTTTATGCGAGAGGAAGCACTTGGAAACATTTTTTTCAAAATCAAAACCTTTGTCTAAGTTGTCTACTAGTGTATAAGTGGAAAATGTTGCATTAATACCTTTGAGATTTTTTTTTACTTAGTCAAAAATTAAGGTGATACACTTTGGCAACAATTGTCGCCAGTGGGGCAAAATGGGTTAATAGATTAATGAACCAATAGGCAGGCCAAATGTGGCCCCCAAGCCGCCAGTTGAACAGCACTGATGTAAACACACACTGAGCATAGGAGAACATTAGAACAGGTGACAAAGTTTGACAATCTGAATCAGAGTTTTGAACAGGAACTGGAAAAACAACAAGAACAAAAATCAAGTTTGATAACAAATATCCCTGAACTGCACTGAATATTACAATACCTTGAAAAAGTATTCACCCCTTAAACTTTTTTCATGTTGTCATGTTACAACCACAAACTTAAAAGTGTTTTTCATGGTTTTTATTTTTTTAACAAATAAAAATCTAAAAAGAGTGTCATTCATATGTGCACATGTATTACTGTGATTATCTGACTAAGACAGTTTCAAACAGATTACATTAGAAGTTAGCCCACAGAGCAGACAGGTGTGGGCCAGATCTGGTGTCATGCTGGCACGGCAGGTATGTGTCAACTGGATATGGGCCAGGTCTGGCAATGATGGTACTGTT